ATATTCCATATATACTATGTATGTATTATCTGAATATATGTATTATCTGCATATAATAAATAAATTGATTTTGATATGGATTCTAAAATAATAGAGGCTATTTTCCCCTTCTGAATTCTATAGTGTATTCAGATTTTCTATGACTACGAATGGGGGACATTTGTATAAGAGATCAACAGTATTATGACAGTAAATTATAAATCTAGTTGCATGAATGTGTATGATATCATTTCGACTTTGCTTGACTAACAGTAGGCGTATAACCAAGGTCTTAGCTAGATCTGTAGCTCAGTTTATGAAATAAATTATGTATAATATAGAAAATTCAAATGTTTTTTTTTCCGTTTGTCGGTATATTCAGAAACGTTGACAGCAATATAATTTTTTTTACATATATATATGTCAATTATTATACAAAAGAACGGGATTATCTTTTGTCACGTCAAATAATGGTAATATTTCGTTGCCTAATCAATGGACTTCATCTTGCATAAATGATTAACAGGTAACATTTTCACATCGTCGTTTATCTTACAGACGAGCACATCACCGTCCTGTTTGGACAATACTTTGCCAACGGATTCTCTTTCTTCTCCATAAATGACCTTGAATTCATCGCCGCTATTGGGTGGTACAGGTGCCAAGTGCTCGCTAACAATGGACACGCTACGATCTTCTTGACGAAGAAATACAGAGCAAACTCCATTCGATACTGTGCGAATAATTCCAGTTTGGCCAACGAGATCAGTGTCATCGTGTGTATGAATCCGAACCTCAATATCAGTTGTGCACCAGTCGCCCATCGTCGAATCAAGGCTAGCTCCAGGCGTTTGTGGATTGTAAGGAGATTGTGGCACACCACCGGGTGTGTTCGGTGAATAGGTCGATGGCGATGGCGTATTCATATATCCAACTGGATATGGCGACGGTGCTGGACTGGGACTCGGATTAAACGGACTATAACTTCTATCCGACCCATACAGAGTTCCAGGCGTTTGTGGAGCGAATTGTGAGGACATTTGATAGCCCGGAGTGCCTAAGAGTATAAGTTATTAGTATTTATAGTATAAAAATATATTCTTTGTATAGTACTTGGATTATAGCCTGGGCTTGGACTTGGCTCCTCCAACGAATAATCAAAGTCTGTGTTACGAGCTGGTGTCGTATTTGCTGTAGGATCCCATGCGCCATGACGTGGTGTCATGCTGCCATCATGAGACGGCGTCATTGTACCGTAAGGTGTACGAGTATCTGTATCCCAATTGGGTGTCTGACTGCCAACCAAGGGAGTCTTAGAGCCAGCAGCAGTGTAGCTGGGCGTTTGTGCTCCATAGCCGGGTGTACGGGCCGGTGTGCGACCGTAGGTGGATACACTGCCTTCTTTGCCAGGCTCGCCAACAATAACAATGTGATTGCGATCCACTGAAATTGTTTGGCACGACGTGTGCAACTCGACACGCGCTGTGCTTTCAGTTGCATCTTTTACAATGCCAACAGCGCCTGGATTAACAAACCATTTAAATAAATAAATTATAGGAATAACACCAAGTCATATATATATTGTGAAGCATACCTTTGTAGGGTCCACCACAAATTTTAATAGTTTTTCCCAGAAGCTCTCGATCGCGCGTCACTCGGAAGCCGCCTCGTCCACCGCGTGAGCCACCACGCGCCCCACGGCCACCAGACGGATGCATAGGAGATTGGATTCGTGGCGACATGAATCCCAATCCTCCAAGTGTATTAGGATTGCTGACATTAGACTTGCTCCCACCAGCGAGCTGCAAGTGACGCGTCTTGCACACAAAAATACCTCCGTTTTCGGTGTACATGCGACAATGGAGAAAAGCCAAACTACGATATAAATGCTTTATTTCTCCAGAGCGGCCCTATTCAAATATAAATGTGAATTAATCAATATGATACATTTATAAAAGAAAGCTAATATTTGCTTACGGCATGAGGGCCCTCCATAACCTTGACAATATCGCGACGGCGTATCTGATTTTGATCAGCATCCAGGGCGACAGTATTCTGATTTTCACGGCGTTTGTGCAAAGCCGTTGGCTTGCATTCAATGCACTTTCCATTCATGCCCAAGACATGGAAATTCTCTCGTTCAAGACGCACTATAACACCAACATTTTGTGAGCTGAGGAATTGCTTATATTTAGCTAAATAAAAAAAATTATTAAATAAAACCAACTCACTCAAGCTGCACTAGATCGCCCCATTGAAACTGGCCAAGACAATCAACTCCGGTTGCTACATCTGAGCAGAGCTGCAAGTCGCGTGGCAAAACCTCAAGTTCGTGGTTTGTTAAATCCGAGACAAGCACAACTCGGGAGGGCTCAACGCGTATAATGAGACCAGTTTCGCCTTCATAGCGGCCAGCCAACACCCTAGCATGATCACCCGTTTTGAAGTATTTGCGTAGCTCGCTTGCTTTAAAAATAAGTGGATCCTACAGAAAGAGAGTTTATTTATTGAAATTAAAATCAAACAGGCTAATTAGCTATATACACTACCTTTAAATCCTGATGTTTTGGCATCACCGTAATCATTGTGCCATCAATAGCAACAATCTTTGCCTGTAAGTTTTCTAAGTCACCAACGCAAACCTCAACATTATCACCCATTGAGAAGGAATGAGCAGCTGTTGGATCATCTTTAACGTTTGCCATAATTTCCAAATTAACTTCTATAATGTATAAATTATACCAGTTTATATTTGTTTATATGTAAAAGTTTGATATTCACTTACCCTCGGGCGCTTCTTCAAAACGCTCCAGTTCGGCCAGTGTGGGCTTTACGCCCTCAGACAGAATTGCCGACATAGTAAAGTTTTTATAAAGAAAACCCTTGCGCGAATAACGATTGCCTTCAAATAGCAAAAAATCACCATCAGAATGAACTTCGCCGCCAATAGCCCTGACAGCCTCCGGATCAAAGGGTTTTGCTGGTGGTCTACGTTTTTTCTTGCGCTTGCCATCGTCACTTTCCTGCAGAAAATAAATAATTAATAAGGAATAATAATGGAAATTCAGCTTCAATTTACCGTTGCTGTCGTTCTTAATGCACCGCGCAATCTGGTATAGTCAATACGAGGAAGAAGCTTGAGATGCACTTGATTTTGGGCCAGATCAACATAATCTACTTGGGCAATGTCATCCTTGTATAAACCGCGCTTCAAGCGCACCCATTGCTTCACTTTAAGTCCCACTTGCTCTTTAACTACTTTAAGGACATCTGTCATCTCCTTAATTGGCACCATTTCCTGTTTCCATTTGCCCATGCGAAGATTTCCCACATTGTCGATGGCTGTCTTCACATGAGTTTGCTTATAGGCTTCCAAGTAAATATATCCCTTAACACCTTCTGGCGCGATAATTGATTTAATTTGCAATGGGTCATCCGTATTCAAATAAGTTAAGAACTTTCTCATCAAGAGCAATGCCGTCGCTTTTTCTTCTCCAATGCGACATTTTACCATCCACAAATTAGGATCTCTGAATGAAATATTTATTTTAGTACCAACCTATATAAATAAGAGATAATTATAAATGATTAACTTACTTGATGCCGGGCAAAAGTGTTTGTTGAGTGATCTCATCAGACATTTCCTCGCCTCCATCGCCAAAATGTCGCTTAACCATTGATTCATCGGCATATTTCTTTCTTAGATATTCCTCAATTTCATCCTCTTTTTGGGTGCTATTTAAATTTGCATTAAAATTTGTGTATAATTCAGTTGTCTAAAAGAAACTTACTCCCACAAATTGGTGCCTCTACGCCTGATTTCAATATCTCTGGCCGTGGGACCCAATTCATCAATTTCATTACCAACAATGCCAATTTCATTGGCACCTTCCTCCCATTCATCGTCTTCATCAACCTAATTATTATAAATTAATATTAATAATTATCAATGAATTCAGTCAGTGTTTTATTTTTGATACTTCACCTCGTCATCTACTTCAGCTTCGTCAATAATAAAGCCACCAAAGCGTTCCTTTTTCTTTTTCTTTCGTGGATGATCATCTTCGTTTTCTTCCTCTTCGTATTCTTCAGAATCTATTTCTTCTCCTTGTTGATCTTCATCTTCGGAATCTTCGGACTTGCGACGATGTCCACGTCCTCCTTGGGGCTGTGGAGAATCGGATCCGGAGCCCGAATGGGCTGAATGAGAACGTGAGCGAGAGGATCGGGATCTGGATCTGGATCTGGACCTAGATCTGGAAATCGATCTTGACCTTGAGCGTGGGCCAGATTTGGATCTAACACTTTGTTGCGACTTGTTAGATATGGATCCATCGTCCGATCCACTATCTGAAACATTGCTGGCTTCGGAGTCCGACATTTTTTCACTCTGCAAACGTGTACAAAGCCACGCGTTATGTTAATACAATAAAATGTACACACTCAAAGGTCTCCTAATAGCTATACTTACTGATATTCTAATATTAAATTTATATATTAGCCATACATTTGCACAATATATTAATAATTGTAATTCTTACACAGAATGCAATAGGGTTGCTATTAAATTGACGCTTAGTTATGGACAATGGAAAATATGCATTGAAAATAGAAAGGTTGCCATGATATGCAACTATCGATAATTTAAAATCAAGTATGATATCGACATTCGATGTTTTTATCTTATCGATGTTTTTCATTTTGAAATAGATGCTCACATCATGTAGGTAAATATAGTAA